TTACAAATATACTTAGAAGAACATAAAAATACAAATCCAGATCTCAAAAGAATCTTTAAACCTCTTCAAGGAATCGTAAATAAGTCTCAAGAAACTTTTAAACCTGTCAATTGTAGTGGAAACACTGGTTTGAGGTTTTCTGTGGGGAAGCATGATAGTTGTATAGTTCTGAGTGTTGTGAGGTCGTGGTGAATGGCCGCTTCCGATCTACAAACAGGGAAAGCCCTTTCTCTTACAAATATGTAACTGGAGCTGGATTGAATCCCAGTCTAAAGAAAAAGGAACACATGTATAAATATTAACCACATGATTTAGATTAAAGCTCATCTTAAGAAATAATTTAAAAAATCATAAATTCAAATATACATGGCATACCTAGTAAGAGTGTGGCTTATGAGGTGATATTAAAATCTCTAGACAGAATAGCCAAGATTCCAGCGAGATCTGCTTATCAAAAAGAGAAAGAAGAAAGTAAATAGAAGAAAAATACAATAATCTTTGGTGAGGCTACACACTTTCACTAATTTCTCCATTCATGGAACAGTGACTCAATATCAGCCTAATGTTCCTCCTTTTTCATTATTAAACAAAAGATCATTAAAAATCAAAACATAAATCTTCATCTATAGTGGTAATATCAACATAGGGCTCCCAAGATAGAGATATCAAAGCTGTAGAGATGGTTTACCTTTGCTGGTTTTTATGGTCGTGGGTCGTTAGGGTAAGAAACGTGGGTGGTTGAACAATAAGAATGCATTACCTTTGTATTAAAACTATATTTAAGAACAATAACAAAGGGGTATCTATATTTACCATACAATTTGATTATCAGCAAAACCAGAATACTGAGGTACCTGAATAAGAAAATGAAGAAGATCACAGTGAAGTCTAGATCTGCTATCAACATCTGTTTAACCAACAAAAAACCTAAAAACAAATCCATATAAACCCTAACAAACTAAAACGGTTTTGTTTACAGTACAGTTGAGGACCAAAAAAAATTACCTTTTTCAGGACTACAAGCTTTAGCATGGGTGGAGGGCCAATACAGTGGTGGTGGTAGTGGTGTTTAGGTAGTGCATAGAAAGAGGAAGGTGAGTGGTGCGGCCAGGGTTTGTGAGTGAAAGAGATAGAGCAGAGAGATTGAAAGGGTGGATTGAACCCTAGTAGACTGGAATTGTTTGTGATGAAGACGAAGGCAAATGGGCGCTTTATCTAGGATATGTGAACAGAGAACGCGACGATATGGGAGAAATTAATGCCGAGAAACGGGAAGGAATTCGTCAAAATAATAGACGATAGATGTGAAATCTTACCATTATAAGCACCAAAATTTTCAAACTACTTAATATTTCTATATATATTGCAAGTAGAACCATCTCAAGAACCACCTGTAGTTGGTCTTCATGGCGGCAATTACGGTTTTTTAGAAAAATAGAGATGCCGATAATGGAAAGGGTAAACTGTGATGGTGCTCTGGTGGGGGTTACTAATGGCGGTGAAATAACAGAATCCAGTATGCTTGATCAAATCCCCCGTCTATCCCCACCAATATGAACCATAAGTCGCTGATAAAGGAGATAGTTTATAGGGATCCAACGTTGGGGAAGAGAAGGTGACGATAGTGATTTTGAGAAGAGAAACAGGAGAGAGATCGAGAGAGAACCATTGGCAGCAATTATTCTCTATTTGTTAGAATTGTTTTTGGTGGTGGCAACGTTTGTTTCTTATAAACAAAAGAGAAACAATAGAAAAAGGACTCAAATCCCCTATTTCAAGGAACATATTAGATTCATTTTGATCGATTTAGTTTTATTCACATTACTTAGGTGGAAATTTTTAAGGGATAAGAGTGAGACCATGTATTCAACGTTTGACTAAATAAGATTCAATGCATAAATTCATTCTACAGTACGCATTTGATCTAGTACCTCTTAAAATTAAGCATTTAAGGCTAAATGCTTATTAAGGTATATATATATATATATATATATATATATATATATATATATATATATATTGCTGTTATACTTATGGATAAAAAAGTATTAAAATAAAAGTGTCATTTAGTCCATGGATTTTTAAATCTAACTATCTATTTAAAATTACCATTTTGCTCATAGACCAAATTGAAAAAGATGATATACCAGAGATCAAATTTGCAACTCTTTTTTTTGTTAAGGTTTATAACATTTTGTATATGTATATATTTATTAAAAAACGATCATATTTTTCATTGATATTGTTCAACTAGATCAATTTTTGATATATTTATTTAATATTTCTTTTTATTGTTCAACTAGATCAATTTTTGATGATATTTTATTGCCTTCGGATGTGGATAAGGTGATAAAGTTCTGGAATGTGCAAGAATACAACCAGAAATTGTATGTCTATTAACACCACACAACACCACACAGAGAAACGAACTCGTCTATTACTAAAACATGTTGATCAAGCACAATCTGCATGTAATGAACTATATATAAGGGAACCAAACTGAGGAAGCCTTCCCTCACCGCTAGTACAACCCAAATGTCATTCTTTTGATTTGTGAAATTTAGAATTGTTGTAATTTCTTATTGATTACTTGCTATAGGCATTTACAATCAAGAGTTTAATAGCTGTGTCAAATTAAGTATAAGAACCTAAGATAAACATAAGATGTGGATAAGTATAAGAATCACAAACACTCCCCTTCAAGTTGGACCGTGAAGATCACAAACACCCAACTTGCTACATAAAGTCTAAAACCGATCTGTGCCAAGTGCTTTAGTAAATATATCCCTTGGCTAATGCTCATATGAGATTCTTATGTGTCGAACAACCTCATTATCACTCATCAATAGCATTTCCTCCATTTAACTTTCGTCCAAGTCTTGTAGCTAGTAATAACCTTATCAACAATACTTCACAAGCAGTATTGGCCATAGCCATATACTCGACTTTAACACTACACTTGGTCTTTTTTTTTTCTCTCTATGGGATTTGCGCACTACCCAGCATAATAAAGTAATTTGTACATGGCCTTCTGGTTGATGCAAAACTTAACAAACATCCATCACAATAAACTAGTAGATCCAAACCACCACTCACAGATAAAAGCAAACCTTGTACAACTAAAAAATTGACTAATTGTTTCACGACGTAGGTTATAAATAGCCTACTGATTGTAAGAGCAAGTAGCCTACCCACAAGATGCATATATTGAGAAGTGTCAACCATGAGAATGTTATCTTCCTTCTGTAAATGCAATTTTTGCTCCAGATGGAAAGCAATTTCCGAATTCCTTAAACACCACTATGTTCCAAAATTTCCAAGGTGTACTTCAGTTGACTAATCACAAACCCTTCGTACGAACGAGCCTCTTCAATCCCTAATAAATATTTCAAAGGGTCTAAATATTTTATGCTAAAACGTGTATGCAAACCAACTTTGACATTTTTAGTATTCTTACTATAATTTCACATCAAAAGAATGCCATCGTCATATATCACTACTAGAAAAAACAGCCTTTTACGACGTGCAATGCGTGTCGTAAAACGCTCAGACGACACGCAAATGCGTGTCAAGGAAGGCCCTGTCATAACGAGAGACGACACGCTTTTGCGCGTCGTCTATTTACGACGCGCATTTACGACGCACATTTATGACATGCATTTACGACGCGTAGTTACGACACAATGCGTATCTAGGAAGGCCCTGTCATAACGGAAGACGACACACATTTGTGTGTTGTAATCTAACGACGCGCGTTTAGGACACGCATTTTGTATCATTAAAGCCCCTGTCATAAATGAAGATGACACGCATTTGCGTTTCATAAACTTCAACAACCATTTACGATATGCATATACGACGTGCCTTTAAGATACTCATTTACGTATAATACAAAAATATATAAACAAATATATATCAAAACAATCAATTTCATCCAATAACATCATGTCAAAAAATTGTAATACATTGGTATTAAGGGATCTAATTGTACATTGTTATTAAGAGGTTTTCCCTAACTATATAATCTTTTACGACGCGCAATGCGTGTCGTAAAACGCTCAGACGACGCGCAAATGCATGTCAAGGAAGGCCCTGCCATAACGAGAGACGACACGCTTTTGCGCGTCGTCTATTTACGACACGCAATGCGTATCAAGGAAGGTCCTGTCAGAAAGGAAGACGACACACATTTGCGTGTCGTAATTTAACGACGCGCGTTTAGGACACACATTGCGTATCATTAAAGCCACTGTCATAAATGAAGATGACACGCATTTGCGTGTCATAAACTTCAACAACCATTTATGATATGCATATACGACGTGCCTTTAAGATACTCATTTACGCATAATATAACAATATATAAAGAAATATATATCAAAACAATCAATTTCATCCAATAACATCATCTCAAAAAATTGTAATACATCGGTATTAAGGGATCTAATTGTACATTGTTATTAAGAGGTTTTCCCTAACTATATAACCTTATACTACATTTCTATTAAGGGCACCTTCTTGTTTCAGATATCATGTCAAAAAAAATCTTCCATATCATTGGTTTGCCACCGATTCCTTTCGTAAATAAACAGATGGAGTGACTCCGCCTTTTTCAGTAGCACATACCGGTTCCTTTCGTGAATCCACTTGGGTTGATCAAGCCGGTTACTAATTCTGATTTATTTATAGTTTATACTTACTAATTCTGATTTATTTATAGTTTATACTTACTGAAACATGTCCATGGCCACTCAATGAGAAGCCTTCCCCTCACTAAGCTTTCGAATTACCTGGAAATCCAGTTGAAATAAATTTCCCAAACAAAAATAAATAAATAAATAAATTGGTCAATTACAAAAGCATAAATAAAAATACTTACAGTTCCAAGGGTTAGAAGACTTTTGTTGATTCAGTTTTTGAGCTTTATGTCCATTCCTTTTCCGATTCCACCACACCAAACACTACTTAAGTTTTTATAAAATGGAAAAAAAAGTGAAGAGTCATACTCCAGAAATGGTATCTGTTGATGGTGTCCCAAGAAGATCAGTTATTAATTCCAACTGATGAACAACAAGGTCAGCAATAACAGATGTTGAATGTGGGAACACCGTAGCTTTTGCCACTGACAAGGTATATACATACATGCGCTTACTTTTTATTTTAAGAGAATATAATAATAATGATAAAGAGATTTGATGTGTAGTTTGCACGAAGGAAGGAGAGAGAAGCAGCAACAACACAGGAAGAGGCTCGGATGAGGGTTCTGTTGATGATGCATGGGACGATTTTTTTAGTTTGAGGAAAACAAGTTCCAACCCTTGTATATCTGACAATCCTGTAATATTCACAAGACATCTGAATAATATGAAATAGTGTAATTTTCATAAAATAAAATTACAAACCTATAAAACAAGTTCCAACCCTTGTATATCTGACAATCCTGTAATATTCACAAGACATCTGAATAATATGAAATAGTGTAATTTTCATAAAATAAAATTACAAACTTGTACATTATGAAACCAGAAAAACACAAGGCGGAAAGAAGAAACAAAATTATCATACATATCTTTTGACAGCTTAACTAACAGCAAGTCCTGAAGGTTGGATGACTTGGACAAATACAAGCATCCAAAGCTTATAATAGCTGGAAACACCACATAAAATGGAGCCTGCTTCAGAAAACAAGAGAATGCTTCAGAAGAGTTTGTTGAATCCCCTTTGATTTGATCATCAACTGCCCTTTCTAATCCTGAAAATGACAATTCAGGCCATGACTTGCAGATATCATTGAAAAAACTCCTTTCAAGAAAACAAATAGAATATAGGATAGAAAAAAAGAAATCCACTTAGTTTATGTGAAATAGATATAACTTCCAGGAAATGCTGCAATATTAGATCAGGTGAAGCACACATTGATGATATAAATGCGTTGGTGATCCCAGAATCATGCTCACACTCTGTTAAAGTGGCATTTTCACCAAGAAGATCGAGAAAAGAGTTATCATCAAGTTTGCTTGAGTTTCTGATGAATAAAAAAGATACTCAAAACCTGATATCATAATAAAAAGAAAACGTAAATTCCAAATATATACAAAGAAACACACCTTCCACTCAAGAAAAATGTGACTTTATCATCAGTATTCCACTCAGCAAGACGAAGGGGCTGCACCCTTGTAGTAAACATAAAACAAACTTTCTCTTTCATCAAAACCATGCCAGCTGGAACAGAGGCACTCAAAGGGGAAACAATCTTGCGTATACCTGAGAAATGTTGTTGTGATAAGATTTCATGGAAATGGATTTACACACCTTTCATGTTAAGAAACTTATAATGACAAGTTATTAAGTTAATTACCATATTTTGAAGCTTCAGGGGCAATTTTTTGGAGAAAAGCCAAAGGGTCCTGGAACTCTTCTTTACTTGGGGAATATACTGGACATTCTGGCATGCTATCAGTCCAATCAAGATCAGTTGTGTCAAACTTGTCAATCTTTTGTTTTGAGATGGTGTCTCTCTCATTCAGACCACTACCAGATTTTGCATATATATATATGGATTTCTGAATGATCTCACACCACAGGATGCGGGATCTCTTAAGGCATCTCCATTGCTTCTAGACATCAGATTAGTCACATATGCAATGTCATTATTTAATGTGTCTGTTTGCATCCGTTGAAGCCTCTTCTGCTTCAAAAATTCCAACTTGGCTTCTCTGGAGAAACAAACCCCCCCTTCCCCCTGAAAAAGATTACAATGTTAATTCACAGGTCACCTATAATCTATGACAATAGATTGAATTGAATATCTCCTTCAGTATAATAACTTGTCAATGATCGCAGAACAAAGTGAAACTAATTACATATATGAAAAAAAAACAACAATAAATTGTTCTGCAAACTCAAGCAAACTTTAAAACCCACCAAAAGAAATAGTTATTGAGAGGTGCACATCCAATGTTCTAATGTATCCACGTTCTAGAGGCACTTTATTACTGAATATGAACTTTGATGCATTTGCTTGGCACAATTAAAATTAGATAACTTTATGTTTCTAATAGTTAGATAATTTTGTTGATTTTCTATTTAACTTATTTTAATACAAGGGTATTTTGGTCTTTTATAAAAAATAAAAAAATTCCACCTTCCCATTTGAATTGTGAAATTCATCAATTGTGAAGGATTCTAAATTAGATTTTGTCCATTTCACAACCAACCGTATCATGGAATGGAATCATGCATTCCAATTGTATTGGATTATATTGGAATCCGGAAAGTGGAAAAGGAATTGCCATTGAACTCACAGAGTTAGGATCAGAATTCTTTTTGGGAGCATCACCGGAATTGTTATTCCCCTGAAGAGCAATATACACGACCTTAAGCTTGCATTCCTCTAAGTGTTTACCAGGTTCCTTACTAAACTGGATTTCAAACAATTACAACATTTAACTATGTCATTAATCATTTGAAAAATGGAGCTTCATTATAAAAAAATGAACATGTTATGGAACTAAATAAGATACTAAATGGACACTCACAGTCAGTAACCTTCATTGATCCAGGTGTGTCCACACCTAACCAAACATAGAATGTGGCATACATGATTGCAACACCAATAACAACCATACCAACCACCACCAAGACAGAGAAACCACCATCACAAATTTCTATCTAAACAAAAAAATCTGCCAGCTCAGCAAGATTCTTAGAAAACAACTATGTAAGTAAAGAATAAAGAAAGAAAGAAACCTGTAAAGCCTCTCATGCAGACCTTCTTGCAACACTTGAAACACGAACATTAGCACGTATAGAAACCCATATGCCAACATAACCAGCCATACCAGAACATACACCTCCTAAAAGAAAAGAAAAGATAGTGATGGACGCAGAATTTAACCTGCACAAGCATCACACAGGAACATATTTCCATTTTTGTCAACAACTTCAAACATGAAAAGATAGTCATCATAGAAACATAAACATCCATTTCCATTTATTTCCATTCTCACCTCCCTATGCCTAAACCCGATTGCATCTCTGCCTTAGTTTGCATGTTGTATCAGAGTGTGATTATTAATGCCATTGATGAATTAGTCAATTGTACTTTTGCTTGTTCATTGGGGAAATTTATCAAACAGGTGGTGTTCATAAAAAAAACCACTCTGTCAACATTAATTCATCCTTCCCACAAATAAAGATTCATCAAAAACATAAAAAGCAAATAATTTAGTAAGATAAAAAGGGACCAGGAAAAAGTAAAAATAAACAGGTCGTAGGCTCGATATCAACAATTATACACTGCATTAAACTAACCCTCAATTTCATACTAAAAATCAAAATTCAAAACAAACATCATTTAACAGAATATGAAGAACATATATTGAGATCGAGAGAACACAAAGAGGAGAACAGGCGAGATGAGTGCAAACTATTGTGCCAAAACTTACCAGCTAATGGAAATTGGGAACTCGATAACATAACGCTATCTGGAACAGTGGGGCGGTTAGAAAATTGATATCGAGATGGAATCAGACAAACAACAAAAGAAGGGAATAAGAACAACAATGACCAGTAATGGAATACTGATGATATTACTTGCGTAGGGTCAAGGAGTAGAACGACGAGAAGAGGTGACATGTATGATGATACGATGAGCACAGAGACCACGATGGAGGCGTAAGAGCCTAAGACGACAACAGTGAGTAGAGCGATGCGATGGAGGCGCGTTCGTGATAGAGAAAAGAAATAAGGATTCAGAATAACATACGACTAGGGAAGGAAGGATGTGAAAGCATAAAAGGCAAGACCTAGGGTTCTGATGGGTTTGCTAAAATTAAAGGGCTAGACGAATTATAAAACGGTGACAAGGTACACCAGAGCACCGGCGCCAACACGCTCGGAAATGTGGAGTTTTCTAATTTTTTTGGGTTTCTAACCGGAGGTCGATAGATGTTTTCAGACTAAAATCAGAGATTAGAGAGCCGAAGAAGAGAGAATCACAGAAGCGTGAGGTGTGGATTGAGTTTTTAAAGGTTCAATGGCGGTGGCGGTGGCGGTGGCGGTGGCGATGGCTTAGGGTTTACAGAGAGAAGGAAGGAGTGAATGAAGGGAGATACTGAGGAGAGAGGGTAGAAGCGGGGTTCTTCAAAATTTTAGAATTTCAGACGATTTCGTTTTCCCCCTTTAAAAACGCGCGTTTAAGCAAAAAAAATATAAAGCGACATTTGAAGAGGACACACATTTAAGATAAGCGCCCTCCGTGTTTGTATTTTTTTTTTCTTTTCTGACACTAATTTTAGGGCACGTACAAATGCGTGTCCTCTATCCTTCAAATTTTAGAAAGAGATGACATTATTTTTAGGGTGCACGCTTTTGCGTATTGTAAATCACTGCGTGTCATTGTTTGTGCGTCGTAAAAGACTGTTTTTCTAGTAGTGTATGGGAGCAATGATCTTAGTTTGATCCTTCTTGTACGAAAACATCAAATGATCAAACATTCATTGCTAAAAGGTAATTTACATAGCAACTTTGGTGAACTTTTGAAACCAATTTCTTGATGCATGTCGTAATCCATAAATAGCTTTTTGCAATTAACAAACCCGTGTCACATTTTATTTCCTAAAACTTTGAGCTATATATCTTTATGTAAACTTCCTAATCTAGGTTACCATGTAAAAAAGACGTTGTTGAAATCCAGTTGGTGCACTTCCCATTGCTTCTTTGATCATGCAACCGCTAGAGCACACAAAAAGCTATATTGATGTTATTGGTGAAAAGACATCATACATAGTGTGAGCACATTGCTACAACAGGGTAAAAACAAAGTAATATTAAATTTTTTGGTCGATTTACAGCAGTTTTGTATACAGGTTTATTAGAACATGATTATAAATTTATATAATTAAAAAGAGTTAATTTTTTTTAAATATAATAGAAATGAAAGAAATATGATCATACTTTCATTGTTTCTTATTACAAATTTTGATGCCCAGAATTGAATAGAAACTTTTACGAGGTTTAGTAACGACATTGGCAATATAAATTTTGATCAACCAAATGCAGGAAATCACAATCTACTTAACATTTATTTATCTTATTATGGCATTGTACTCTTATTATAGGATTCTACTTTCATTTTTCCTTACTACAACTATTTACTTTGGATGGTTTATTATAGGACATTATATTTGGATAATTGTACCCCTTATAGTACTGCATCATAGGCTATTCGTTAAAATGAAACTACTTTCCGCCTTCTAGAATCGTAAACTGTAAACCGTAAATATTGATGGATACTCTTCATTGATGCATTGCTATGTAATATAACCTGTTTCCAAAAGAAACTATGCACCAAAAGAAAACACTCCATCTGCATAAACCAAAATAAAATTTAGATGTCGACTTATTAACCTTGTAACATCATATATGGTTGCTATATGCCATCCAATATGATATCAAAATTTGTTAAAACGTCTTAATTAGGTTATTTGACATGCAACATTATGTAATCCCTTTTATACTGTCGGCCTATCTCGACCACCTTTAAGTTCCAAATAAATGGAAAAAATGATATGATAATATAGCCGTTATTAAGCGGATCCTAAATAAACCATAAGATATAAACTATAAAAATCAAACACTATAAGTACAACTATATACATCAGTAAAATACTTCATAATAACATTTCATCCTTCTACGTGAGTAAGCGAGTTAAGTATCTTCAAATTGTATTGATCTCTAAAAACTTATTATAAAAAAAACTAGTATGGATTTTTAAACGCATAATTACCGAAAATTTTATGGTTTTAAGATTTGGACTCAGTTGTGGTTTTACTGAATCATTTTCTTATGTTAATCTGAGCTGAATTCTAAATAAGTGAAATTTTAAATCGATCAAATCTATAATTTAATTATCAATTTTAGATTAAGAGGTATTATATGCGTTATTTATGATAAATTTAAAAGCTTCTTATTACAATTGGCAGTTTCATTCATTAATTATCTTCATTTAACAGATTGCTGTTTTGTTTTTGTAATATTAAAAACAGGGAAAATAATGCTTGCGTGGTCTATTTAAATGTACATTATCAGTTCCTAAACCAAAGCACTTAGAAATCCTACGCTGAAGTGAGTCTTTGTAATTATACATAAACATGACCAAGCTCACATCTTACTTCGTGCTTTTTATTGTTGTAATCTCAGGTTTGTGTACTCAGTTCTCTAGATGCCTATCCTCCATAATATTATTTTAATTGTAAAATACATGATGAAGTCTGTTTTTGATATTTTGGGATGACAAACATGACATTTATGTTATCTCAAAGCATATCATGTTTGATTAATATATCATCAATTGATTGCATAATTCCAAACAGTTCCAATCTAATGGTGGAAAAATTATCATACTATAGATTTTAGTATTTTTATTGATTTGATAGCTATATATCTGAAATCTAATATTTTACGATTCATGTTATAAGTAATTTGTTTCTTTTTCTTCATTTTTAGTTGGAGTTTCCATTGTGAATGGACAACAAAGATGTACTGTGGTCTGGGATCCGAACTCTTGTGATCTTGGTGATTGTCGTGCACAATGCTTTCAAAAACACTTGGGCGAAGGAGTTTGTGAAATTTCAAGTGATAAGAGTCATTACAGTTGTATTTGTATTTACAACTGCTAATCCGATCTTAAGACAATAGTGTCACCTATAGTGTTTAAAAACTCAAAGGTTTAGGGGCCTGCTCCATAGGAATTGCAATTACCTTGAATAACATTTTTGTGGTTGTGGAAAATTTTCAATATATTCAATGAATTATTTGAGATTTTTTTGATTAGAGCCCTAAACGAACCGAACAAAAACGAACAAGGGCATGTTCCTGTTTCTTCATTCAATTTTAACCGAACAATTGAAATGAATACGTAGACATAAACAAACGAGTTTTCTTGTTCATGCATTTCGTTTTAAAAAAAGTACTCTGTTTATGTTGATTTGTTTACACACGAACATAAATAAAATAAATGAACATATAAATCAAAGAACATAAACAAACAAAGCTAAATAAACGAACATAAATAAAATAAATAAACATACGAAATCATTAACGATCGAGCATAAATAAATCTTTACGAACGTAAATGAATAAGAATATTTTCTATGAGTGTGTTTTCAATCATTAATAAGAAGTCTTAGTTTACTAAAACAGAATCAATCATTCTGATATAATTTTTGCCTTTGATTTAACTTAAACATGCATTGTCTTGGATTCACATAGTCAAGCTTCTTGACATGGGGACATTATGCTAAATAATAATTGAATATATCTAGGGCTTGTAGACGATGTTCACAATCACATCACAGAAGTGTGACTAACATCGGTTGAAAATCAGTGGTTTTGAAATAAGGAGGTCAAAGGGCTTATTTTTATTTTGGAACTTAGAAATAAAGAACATCAAAGCATGTTTCTTTTTGGAACTTAGAAATAAAGAACATCAAAGGGCTTATTTTCTTGTAGACATGTGCCTTGGGACGTGGCTTAGGTGATTGTAACACACGGTTTCAAATCGCTTCATTATTCGGGGCTGTGGCCTTGGGGAAGAAAGGATTTGGCCCTTTGTGGATGTGGGTGTTATAGTCTAAGTGATTCGAGTGTTCGATGGTGTTTCAGAGCCTAAGGGTATAATCGTAATTTGATAATTCGGTCCTTTATGAATTTTGGGTTTTTGGACCGGGAAGTTTTAAGGCTAAGGTAAGTTGTTATAAGTGTAGGGCTTCTCGTCACCTTTCTATGAATATAAAGTTCGTCGGAAATGGAGTTTAAACGGAAAAATTATGATCGTTTGAAGTATTGGCAAAAGTGGTCCTTAGTGGAAAAGACTTGCAAGATAGGTCCCATGCATGCACTTTATGAACGCACATGTCTAGGTTTGTATGCCCATCGTAATAGGCAGAGTGCCAAACCCTAATTTTTAGGCTTTGGGCACTATTTAAACATCCTTATGAGCTCCAGGCTTTCACATTTCTCAGCCTCCACTGACCTTAGAGCCTCATTTC